AGTGGCTGGGCCAACCCGCGCGTATAGTGCTGGACTACGAGATAGCGGCCATCATGGCGGCAAAGGAGATCTTTCCGAGCGCGTTCGTAGAAGGCTGCGCTTTCAATCTTTCGCTCTCATGGAACAGAAAAGGGAACGGCTACGCTAGTACATACGCGGCCCTCGAAAGTCTCCAAGAATGGAGAAGTGGTGGAGTACCATCAAAGGGATCCTGTTCCTCCCACCACACTTGCATTGGAGGGTCCTAGCGCTACTCCGCCCCCTGTACCCCAGCAGCACAGTGCCTATTGGAAATGCCACATGTTCCTTGAGTACCTTACGACAACGAGGTACAACGGCCTTTTCAAGGACATGTGGTGCAAGTGGGATGTAGCAGAACTGCGCACCTCGAACGCTGCAGAAGCTTTTCATAGGTAAGATAATTCAATTTAGAAGAGCGGCCTAGTTTCTTGCCTTTTGAAACGAGAAAATTTTTTATACAGGAGCTTAGGCACGCTGCTGGGTGTTAAATACCCCCGGATGGGAGATCTCATCCATGCATTGCAGGGGTGTGTCACCACCGCAAGAGACTCTCTTTGATGTTGAAAGGGGTTAGTTGCTCACAGATTCATGAGGTTTTTTTTCGTAACATTAATCATTTAGGGAGAAAAGGAGACCAAGCGCCTCAAGAAGAAGGCCGTTCTCCGGCGTCGCCAAATCGTGCGTGAAATGGCTCCATTCAAATCAATCTTACGTCGAGACCGAGCATTTCTACGCACAGCAACCATCACGACGTACTGCCGGAGAATGGCCATATTCGTAACAGAGAAGGTAAGGTAAACAGCCCCTCTCTTTGCCGGACCATCAGACCCTCTTCAAGGGGGTCACAAATGAGAAAAGAACGAATACGAGTTTTTGCTCTTTACCCACTGAATAAATCGTTTTCAAAAAGGAGGGAGGCGAGCATTTTTCGCCTCAGTCGCTTCATCTACACAATCATGCGACTAGAGGCGGAGGTGTTCCCCTCTTTCAATGGCTTTTGTTTCTACACGCACATACGCACACACTCACATAAGGAGAAGCAGGGGAAAAAATCAGTGGATTCCGACATTCGAAAATCAAAAGAATTGGACGGAAGAAGGTCCCATTAATAACGTATAACAAACCTTCGTTTTACTCGCAGCAACCAGAGGCAAGGAAGTGGAACTCGGCATGCTGCTCATCACCTCAACCCTTTTGTTCAACTTCGTGCACTGAAAGAACATCAGTTGACTTGAAAGTAGAACATCGGGAATGACAGCATAAACAAGAGATTCTTTCTCTAATTTCTCTAATACCAAAAAATACATGAATCAATGGAATAGCAACCTCTCCAACAACGATTTCTCCTTGACCGAATCCCAAACCCAACGAAACGGTTGGAGGCACAAAGGACAAACAGCCGCCACAACGGGTCTACGAGATGTAAAAGAGGTAACAGTTGAAACACGCGTAAAAAACTGAACAACATCCGACTTTTCTAGATGAGCGAATATTAAAAAGGCGAC